AAATAGACAGGAACATACACAGAGAGATGGAGTCATGCAACTGATGACTTAGAGACCAGATGGGGATTTGTGCAGAGATTAAGAGAAGCACAGAGAGAGAGGGCACAGAGGTATGTGGGCAGAGACTGATGGGAAGATGGATCGAGTAACAGAGAGAATGAAGGGATCTAGTCCATCTGGTGACATGGGTGCAGGGCCATGATGGAGCCAGAAACAAAACTGGTGTGTGGAGGAGTGAACAGGAAGGGGAAGTGGACAGTGTGGACAGGTGGCTCAAGAGGCTGAGCTGTGGAGCCAGTGGGGTGGGATGCTGGGGGCGACAACACGGGCTGCTGTGGGTGTTGATTCTGGTTGATTAAATGGGAGGGAGACTGAGCCTGCTTAGAAGCTGAGGAGAAAAAATGAGGACACAAGAATAAGGTTCCAGGGACGGGGGAGGGGTTTGGAGCCCTGAGCATAGGTCCGGAGCAGCTTTGGCCGAGAGGAGAAACCCACTTACACTGAGAGACAGAGGGAGGGGCAGGGGATGGAGGGAGGTGCAAGACACAAAGGGAGCCCCTCACTATGCAGACTGTGTGAACTGGCCACTAAAGTTCATTCCCAACTCCACTAATGGGCTAAAAAAGTAAAAATACTCACCTTTACAGAGCACCTTGCAGCTATAGGTAGCCATGTGACTCAGATTTGCCTTCACTTTCTGAATTAAAAAAAAGAGCAAAGGCTTTTGGCCTTCCATCTTTCTGCCTGGAAGAAAGACACGATGACCAGAGTGCAGGAGCCATCTTGCAACCACGAGCATGAATGAAGCCACATGCTGAGGATGTCAGAGCAGGAAGATGGAGGGAGCCTGTGTCTCTGTGACCTCCCTCCGCCCAGGTCTTGATTGCCTCCCCACAGGCTTCTCAGATTTCTCACTGGGGCCCCTCTGGTAGTTTGGTGACCCTTCCTGAATGACATACACTTGATGGACTCTGGTTTTTCTGTGAAGCAGAGGATGAGAAGGGCATAGGGAAGGACTGAAATGGCTTGAGGGGAATGGGGACATAACCAAGGACATTTGAAATTGGCAACCCTTTATTTGGCTGTGCTTTTTTCCAGCATCCTTGCTGGTTTGTCTTTACAAACCGCCGTCTACCCCCAATCCCTATAGACATTTGCTTCAAAATAATCCAACTGGGAGGTGGGGCAGGAAGGGGGAGTGGAGGAGTGGATGGAGGTACAGATGAAACAGGATTGGTCATTCATTGACACTTACTGAAGCTGGGTGATGGGCTCAATACACTGTTCTCACTACTTTTGCACATTTGAAATGTTCCACCATAAAAAGATATTTTTAAGGGACAAAAATGAATGAAACTGAAAACAAAACTACTAACTACTACAGGCAGCACATGATTCGTAAGTGTATATCTCACTAAGAAAAGCCTTCCAGAAACCCAAAAAGGCAGGCCACAGTAGGGTAAGTCTACAAATCTAGGTTATCCACATAGCCCCTCTCCGGGCACTGACCCCCACTCCCGAGTCTGCACTGGCAAAGGAGTGGCTCACCATATCCCTGGCTCTGTTCAGGACCCTGAGCTCTTCTCATCCCCCAAGTCCATTGGGCTCTCCTGAACAAGGTCTGCTCAAGGGCCTGAACTTGGGCCTGACAGAGCTCCAGTGCTCTCTTTTGAGCAGCTTCAGCAAACTCAAGCTGGTGAATGCTATTTTCAACTAAGAGTCCCAGCTAACACATACCCCAGACAAAGATGGATTTAAGTAAATGTGAAGGTAAAATAATGCAATTATGTAGAGCAATGGCTCTGATGACTTTTGGGTGTCAGAGTGAGCAGTCAAGAAAGTACTGATGTTTCTCCAGATCGTAAAATCGTAGAAGAGTAATTCTTTTCTACATTTCCCCAGGCCTGCCTTTCTTCCCCAACACCATCAATATTCACCACTGTATCAGTATATCAATATTCCCAATTTTTAGAATTACTGACATGCTTGTGCATGTGTGTTTGTGCCTGTAATTAACACTCCATTCTTCAAAAGAGACCCTCTGGTACAAGTTATTTTTAAATCAAAATTAATTTACCAAAAAAAATTATTTTGTCTCAATGCTTCTAACAACTTAATCTTGAAGTTTACCTCTTGAGAGAAGTGGAGTGGTGCTGGCTGTTGGTGATGAGCACAGGGCGTCAGGGCTCAGGGTGGGCATATGGGGGGCAGCACTGGATCTTAGACCACAGGCCTTCCCTGGGCTGTAGGGACCTAAGTTGCTGGGCAGGCTCCCATCCTTTTTGTGCTCTCCCACAACATTCCAGGCACATGGTGAGTGAGTGCACAAATGACACTTGAGATGATCTAGAACCACATTTATAGTTCTATCCCCTTTTTTCAAATGACTAAACTGAGGCACAGCCAAGCTGAGTAAAGTTTTTTCAAGGTCACAAAGCCAATTAGTACAGACCAGAGTCCAGATATACTAGCTGATCTTTGAACTCATCCTGCCTCTTGTTTAGCTGAAAAAATTACTCCTGAGCAGGGACTAATTAAATTGCTGGATTTCTAGAGAAAGGAGAAGTGGTGCTGATGAGATATGATAGGAAGCTTGATATTTTAAACAGAGGGGTACAGTTGGACTCCTATTGCAAGTTTTGGAACAGGAAAATGATGCAGAGAAAATTAATATTGCTGCAGAAACCAGGGCTCAGAAACACATCCTTCCCTCAAGGGCTCATGATGTGCTGGGAGGTCTGTAACAGGTGACCCATGCAAGGAGAGGACCTATGTGAAGAGCATGGACTTCAGAGCCAGAGGGAACTGGGTCAAGTTCCACATCAGCTGTGTGGTCTTGGCCGAGTGACTTCATCTGTCTGAGCCTCAGTCTCCTAACCTGTGAAGTGGGGATGACAACCATGCCTTATGTCTGGGGCCATCGTGAGAACCCATGCATTCAGCAAATGCTAATTGAGCCCCTGTTCTGTGCCAGGCCCCTGGGCTGGGGACCCTGTACAGAACAACAAACAGCACAGACCAAGTCCTGCTGCCATGGGTTCATTCTGGAGGAAACAGGTAAACAGTGAATGAATAAGGCAATTTCAGATACGAAGGTTACTATAACAATAAGAACCAGTAATGGCGGACAGTGACTTGGTTGGGAGGTGAAGGGAGCAATTCTTTATTCAAGTAGTCAGGGAAGGTCTCTCCTTGGAATGATGAGGAAAAGCAGCCACAGGAAGGATCTTCATTTAAAGCAGAGAACAGCAAAGGCCCTGGGTAGGTCTGCACAGGACATTTCTGACAGACAAAGAGAAGGCCAGTATGGCAAGAGCAGTGTGAAGGTGGGCAGGTGAGACAAGGTGAGGCCACGGGGGTGGCTATCAAGCCAGACAGGGCCCTGGAGAGCATGGGCAGGCACTGGTGTTCCAAGTGCAATGAGGACCCTTGGGAGGCCTCTGAGCAGGATCATTCCTGTCCAAAAAATGATTTACATTTTAAGAAGGCTGCTGTCTGCCCTGTGGAGAATGGACTGGGAGAGGTAAGAGACGAAGCAGGAAAAGAAGGTAGAGGACCATGGTAAGGGCACAGGTACGAGAGGAAGGTGGCCGTGGTGGTACAGAGCAGTGGCAGAATCACGATTTGCTTCTGGTGGAGAGTTGGCAGGACGTGTGGGCAGAGCACCTGCAAGCGTGGGAAAGAGGAGGCAGTAATGATGCTTGTGGGGCTAAGATAGAAAAATTCTGGGTGGCTAGGCAGGTTGGTGGGGGAATCAAGAGTGCTATTTTGGCCACTTTGCATCTGGGAAGACAAACTGCAAAGCAAGAAGAGATGCTGAGGAAGCATCTGGATGTAGGAACGTGGTGCTCAAAGGAGAGGGAAGAGGAAGGCTGAAGGAAAACGTGCTAGGAGGCGGGGGAGCGTGCATGTGAGTGTGCGTGTGCTTTACTGGTTAGTGATCTAGAAACAGATGCAGCCACATTAAAAAAAAAACAACTTCCATATCAGGAAGTGGCATTTCACCTGTGCTATGGGGTTGTCTTGAGGATTACATGAATAATACATATTAAGATGCTTGGACAAGTGCCTGGCAGATATTCAGTGCTCATTGCATATTATTTTTATTTCAATTCAAAAGGAAAAGACTAGTTTACCTAGTAAGTAGTTTCACATAACTTATCTGTCTCGAAAAAATGTCAGATGCTCTACCTTACACTTAAGTGAAAATATATTTCATATCGCTTAAAGCTGTACACGGAAGAAATCCAAGTAGAAATGTATGAAGAAAACATGTCGATGGAAAGTTGTCTAACCTCGGCATAAAGTAGGCCTTTTTAAGCGACACAGAAAACCCCGACCCAAGAATGAAAAGAGAGACTTGTCTGACTACATACAAAATTACGTATGGCAAAAAAAAAAAAAAAAATGCTATAAATCGTGCCAAAGAGGCAAGTAAGAAAATATTACATTATATATGAAAAGTAGAAAGTGAATTTCCCCCAAATACAAAGATCTCCTAGAAACTGATAACCCACCAGAAGATTTCTCTTCAGTGCAAACCACTAAGAAACACATGAGAAGCGGCTCTGCCTTCTCGCCCTCCCGGTCGGCCCAGCTTTCCCAGCGGGCCTGCTGCGGGCAGCGCGTCTGCCTGGCGGCGCCCAAGTCCACACAAAGAAACACAGGGTCGCGAATCTATAGGGAGTCCAGGGCCGGGAGGAAACCACAACCGGGCTGTCAGAGAGGAGGGAAGCAGGGGAGAAGACAGAGACGCGGGTGGCACCCTCAGCGCCGGAGTTTGGCTCCCTTGCCCGGTCAAGCAGCCCCTCCGAGCCTCAATCGGACGCAGAACCTCGCTGCGGGCCTGAGAGGACAGACGCGACGGAGGGGCGGGGCGAGCACCACCACCTGGCCGGGCACGCCTGCGCGCTAGACAGGACGCGAAGAAAACCGGAACCACTCGGGCCGATGGTGCATGTTTCCGGAGGGAGCGTGGGTTCCGAAGCCGACGACGGCGACGCTGGGAAGCCGACTTCCGGCGCCTGCTTTTCTCACCGGGTCTGAGCAGAGAGGGAGAGGCTGCGGGGCCGCGATGAGACAGAAGCACTACCTTGAGGCTGCGGCGCGGGGACTGCGGGAGAGCTGCCCGGGCCAGGCACGCTATCTTCTGTAAGAGGATGGGAGGGGAAGCGGGAGGCGAACGGCGAGGAGGAGTTCCTTAGCCCCTCACGAGTCTCTTTCTTTTGCAGCTGGGCCTACAGTTCGTCACACGGTAGGGAGAACACGCGTCTGTTGCGGTTTAGGCTCTAGTCTCCCCGCTCTCCTGCATGACACACGGCGCTCGGAATGATGTGAAAGAGAAGGCCGACCGACTCACTCCCCTCCCTTAAAAGAACGTCAGAGGCTTCTCGGTTTCGTGAATAATCCAAATTCCACCTTGCTTGACCTATTAGCGGCATTTCACACGTTGATTAGTCTTCTCGAAATAGTTTCCTCGCTTTGCTCCCAGATCATCACGTAGTTTCGCTTATCCTTTTAGCCAGTGCGTTCTCGATCCGCTTTGCTGATTTCTCTTAATTCCCCAACCTCTAAATATTGTAATGTCCCCAGGATCCAGCCCTTGGGCTCCTTTTCCAGCTACATTCACTTCCGTGATGATAGTTTTTCATCCAGTTTCATGGCTTCACTGTACACTGAGGGCTTCCAAATTCATATACCCAGCCCAGATCTTTCCCCCAAATTCTAGACTCACGTATCCAAATGCCTTCTTGACAACTTGTTTTGAATGTCTGGTAGGCATTTCAAATTTAATTAATATGTCTAGAACCTGAGATTTATCCCCGACAAGCTCCTCCAGTTCTTCTCTTTTCAGTAAATGGTAACTGTCCTTAGTTATTCAGCCCAAAAACCTTGGAGCCATTCTTGACTTCCTAACCACCAACCCCCTCCCTCTTCCATTCCTAAGCCCATATTCCAGCAAATCTTGTTGGTATTAAAGTACGTGTATCCAAAATCTAGCCACTTCTCATCCACTGCTACCACCCTGGTACAAGTCATCACTGCCTCTCTCCTGGATTACTGCCACCAGCTCCCATGCATTTCTACAGACTATTCTCAGCCAACAACCAGAGTGATCCTACTAAAAACTATAAAGCTAGACTGTGTCACTTCTCTGCCACAAATGGCTTCTCAACTCGTGTAAAAGCGAAAGCCCTTCAAAAGGACTGTAAGGCCCTACATCGTAGGCCCACATTACCCCCTGACCTGCTCTCTTTTGTTCACTCAACTCCAGCCACACTAGGCCTCCTTGCTCTTCTGCTTCAAGGCCTTTGCAGCTGCCCTTCCCTCTGCCTGGAACTATTGCCTCACATATCTGCTTTGATTCCTCCTGCAAATGTCACTCATTGAAGCCTTCCCTAGTCACCCTATTTAAAATTGTGGTAGCTCCATCGACACTCCCTATACCCCTTTCCTATCTTTTTTCTTCCCAACACTTAACATTTGATGTTATGTTTATTATCTGCCTCCATGAATTGTTGTCCTTTGTTCACCGCTGTACCTCCATCACCCAGAACTGCGCCTGGCACTTTATCACTTAGTAAATAAGAATGAATTTTACATTTGGCAGAGCAAAGTTACAATGTGGTCCTTAGCCCTTTGTAGTGCTGTTATATCTATAGTCCTTAGCACAGTGTTCAACAGTAGATAGTAAATATTCATTGTGCTAATTGTTTTAAAAAATAAACAAAATCACAGTGCAAGTTGTTATTTTGTGGTGTGTTGGTAAAATTGGTGAAACATAACTGTTTTTTACTTAAGCAGCAAGTAATGAGCAAAAGTTGGAGACTTGCCTATGTGTTGCTCAAAGGAGTGAATGGATGGAATTATAGTATTTTGTAAAATAAATTATTGCCAGTTTATCTTTTTATGAACTTTCATATTTTGAGTTTGCTTAAGGAGAATGTATATCTGCTTATATTAAATATCAGTATACTTCTTTACATTTGTAATGTTGGCAGTTTGTTAAAGGTAACAAAATATTGTAATGTGCTGAATTGTGAGTTTCAATTTTATAATTTTAGATGATAAGAGCACTTTTGAAGAAACATGTCCATACTGTTTCCAGTTGTTGGTTCTGGATAACTCTAGAGTGCGCCTCAAACCCAAGGCCAAATTGACACCACAAGTACAGAAACTTCTTAATCGAGAAGCCAGAAATTGTACCCTCAGTTTTAAAGAAGCAAAAATTGTGAAAAAGTATAAAGACTCCAAAAGTGTATTGGTAAGATTTCAGTTCCATTATGTATAAATAAAGTAGAATTTTCGTTCACTTAAACAAAACTTGATTAAGAATCCACCTCAATGTTAGTCAGAGAGGTATAGTAGTATATTTGGATTATCGAGATATATACATAAGTTTTCTAGTGATTACTTTTTATTAAGAGTACAGCTTATTTTTATTTTTCATGATTACCTAAAACCAAACATTGTGTGTTCTCAGTTATTCACAGATCTCATTGATGAGCACAGTTATTTTCACAAATTTGAGGATTTCTTGTGCTGACCAGTATGACTCCACCTGAATTGGTTATCACTATATTATTTTTTCAGTTAATGATGCTTTTCTTCAAACAGCAGTACCTTATGTCTGTAGGTACCAGTGTCATTTCTCCAGTCATTTATTCCATGTCAGCATGTGTATTTACATGTGTGCCCAACAAAGGTATGTCTTGTGTTCATTAACATTTATTGAGAGTCTATCATATGTGAAACAACACTGAGTACTGAGGTAATAAATGGAATAAAATAACCAAAATCAAATTACTTATAGTTTACTATATGGAGGCCAGTATCAGATACATTTTATATCCTGCATATTCAGTGTTTTGCTTTTTTGGGGGGGCAGCTGGCAGGTACAGTGATCTGAACCCTTGACCTTAGTATTACAGCTTCAGTGTTAACATTTAGCAACTATTCAAGTGCTTGCTTACTGCCAGGCACTGTGCTGGGCACTTATGAAATCCTGGGCACCTTAAGAAATCCTCAGATTTGTGACAACTTATGTCTGGCCCAAGACTACAATTAGTAATATCTTGGGTTGAAAGCTAAAAACATTTAGGAGTTTACCATTATTTGACAGATAAGTGCATTTTGCTTTGTCATAAAATTGAAAGGGAAAGAGATAAGAGAGTATTGAAATGGGTAGAATTCACGTTCTTACTCTTTGGAGAATTGTATTTTTCAAAAAACATCACTGCCACATATTTGGAAAATGTTCTTAAGTGGAAAGATAATAAATGTTGTCTCACTGCGTTCCTGTGTTTTGTCCTCAGGAAGCTTATTACATGGTAATGTATTTTAATCAGAGGTCAGCTAGGAAGGTGCTAGGGGTGTTTGTTTTGCTGATATATTTTAATCTATGTACAGCCTCTCTCCAAAAAGTATAAAGCAACTGACACATAGACCTTTGATGTATGCAGATTTCATTTGCACTTTCATCTGTTCATGAACATTAGAGTACTTCTCACCTAAGCCAGTTTGTATTAATTTGCTGAGGCGTGGGCTGAATCCTGTGCACTCTGAGTTTGATATGTAGAAGAAAGGCATTTAGCTAGAAAATGGACCATTTATTGAAAAGTGAATACTGAAAAGAAAGTCAGCCTCTAGGCTAATGATGGAAGTTAAGAGATGTGAGAATGTGATAATCCATTTGGTTATATAAATTACTTTAGACCTATGTTTACAGAACTGCTAAGGGTATGAAGGGGCCACTTAAATTTTCAGTGGTATGGGCCGGCCCGTGGCTCACTCGGGAGAGTGCGGTGTTGATAATACCAAGGCCACAGGTTCGGATCCCATATAGGGATGGCCGGTTTGCTCACTGGGTGAGCGTGGTGCTGACAACACCAAGTCAAGGGTTAAGATCCCCTTACCGGTCATCTTTTAAAAAAAAAAAAAAATTTTTTTTTCAGTGGTATTCTGCCATGTTTTATTGGGAAAAGGCTTGAAGTTCATCTGCAAAAATATTAAATGTCATACTGCTATTCCAAAGAACATCCTTCCAAATGTTAAAGGGTATCATCCCCAGTCTCCCTGCCAATCCTCCCCAACTAGTTTTATATTGAGAAAGTAAAGAGTTTATCTTTAAAAAGCTATTTTAAATTAAATATAATGTTTAGCTATTATTTTTTTTTTAAGTTCACAGCTAGTAAGTGACAGCCATTGATTTTTTATTGAAGATTTTCTCATTTTAAATTTGTCAGAGTTCTGCTGCTAGATTGCAGCCTCTATGTTTTTTACCCCTGAAGTACCTGATGTATATAAGAATTCAGTGAATGTGTGGTTAACTGGATTAAATTATAAGAGAAATCATAGAACCAATACTTCTTCTTTTTATGGTAGTTGATTACATGCAAAACATGCAACAGAACAGTTAAACATCATGGTAAAAGTAGAAGCTTTCTATCAGCACTGAAGAGCAATCCTACCACTCCTACGAGTAATCTCTGTCTGAAGACATCAGAGAGAAAGACTCTAAGTTCTGCAAACCTAAATCATGATATGTCTGGTTCCAAAGGCAAGAGCCCAGCATTGATTTTCAGGTATCTTAACTCATTAACTTTATTTGAATTGCCAGTGTTCAGCAAGCATTTCTTCTGATTTACTCTGTTTAGTGCACATTCCCTAAATATGCCATGCAGTTCAGGTTGTAGCCCCTTTTTTCCTTCACATGCTTTTCTCTCTAATGTCATGTACTCCCATATCTTCAACTCTCATCTCAGTGCATACGACTTTCAGGTGTATCACTCACTTCCAGCCTCTCCCTGGGCCTATTCCCAGCTGTCAGTTTCATATATCCACTTCAGCCCACTACATGCCCAAAACTTGGTTCATCATGTCCCCCCAGCTAACCACTCAAACACACCCATCCTCTCAAGTTCCATGTTCTGTGAATGAACATGCCCTTCCACACTTTCTGACCTAAAATGGTGGGTACAGTCAACACTGGTCCTTATTGTCACTTTCTGTCTATTCTACTTCCATGATGTTTGCATCTGTTCTCTCCTTTTTCTCCCTGCTGCTGCTATCCTGGTTCAGGTCTTTATTCACCTTTGCCAAGACTATTACAGTGATTTCCTAATGGTTCTTCTTACTTCTGGTTTCAAACTCTTCTAGTCTGATCATCTGCCTAAAGCACAGACAGCTCTGATTAGCTTTTAACACCTTACTCTGTAGCATATGTATCCAATACGCTAGCATGGCTTTCCAGCCCTCACTACCTGGCACCAGTCTGCCTGTTTTACTTTGCTTTAATTCATCCTATATGCCAGTCTGAACCACTCAATATACTTTCCCGCTCTAAACCTTTTCTCTCATTCTTTCCTATCAGAAATTCCTGTGAATTCTAACCGAATAGGTTAGAATTCTGTCAAATGATACTAAGTTAACTATGGCTTAGCATGTGTTTTATTTTAGTAATTCTCAATACTTTATTCACTGTGATAGTCAATAAATTTAATTCCACAGAAACTATGAAAGGAATTTTGGAATGCTTTGTTACTAAAGAAAAACTGAGTCTCGTATTCTCTAGAATGTAAAAAAATTTCAGCAGGGACTGGATTACTTCTGCTTATTGAATTGAGTTTTTTATATTGAGCTCGAAGTTTATAAAGCTGGGTAAGAATTAGAATTTCAAGTTCAGTGTTCTCCATACTCTTGATTTAATTATTTTGATGTTTGGTGTGATAAGAATTCATCATAGAAGTTTTTAGTTTAATTGGATAAATGTAGATAAAAGAAAATTTGGTTTATTTAAAACAATTTGGTTGCATTTCGGCCAGGCTATTTCTTAGATATATGCAGGAATGGGAAGGACATTTCACATTTATCAGATAGATGGAGAATCAAAAGAAAAATCAGACTAACAGACACCAAATAAAGGTTCGAGGGGATGGAACCCAATCGGAGGAAATGAAATATGCACATACCAGATGGGGAATCATTTATTCAGTGGATATTTTTAGAATGCCTACTGTGTGCTTGGCACTGTCAGAAAACACTGGAATATATAATTAGTGTCTGCCACATGCAGCTTACATTCTGATGGGGAAGATACATACATAGGTTGAGATCCTTCAACTTTTGAGAACTGAAGTTGTCTTGAACTGTAAAGAAGGAACATGTTTTTAAAGTCCTTGCTTAGAATTGTCATGAATCTTGATGTCCGGCTTAAAGGGAACTCAGACCTGATGATACTTTAATCTCATCTTTCAGGTATGAGAGAAGCTTCCAGAACCATCCAGTAAACCTCCTAAATGTTGCCTGTAACCTATTCACAGTGAGGAGATTTTTAACAAAATTTTTCAGAGTATAGCCACTTGCCTGTATATGGCCACAAAACAAGAGGAGAAAATTATTCTAGTAGTAGTCATCTAGGCTAAGCAGGAAGAGCACTTTTTGTCATTCGTCAGTATAACCAAGTGTGGTTTTGTTTCTTTTCAGAACACCTCCATCTGGACAGTCAACACCCACTTGCTCCTCAAAGAATGTAAACAAAACAAAGAAAAACTTCTCTCAACTAAAAATGTTGCTTAGTCAGAATGAATCCCAAAAAACTCCAAAGGTGGACTTCAAAAATTTCTTATCTTCTCTGTGAAGGACGGACTTTGAAAATAAGAAATGCCTTATAATGCAATTTCTTAAGCTAAAGTTAGTAAAACAAACTTTTTTTTTTTTACTTTTATTTATTCTTTGAATACATGGATCTAGGTCCAAGAGCAAACTTTTCTTGACATCCTTCAGTGTTTTATCGGGAAAATACCTCATTAGAATGAATAACTGGGGCCGGCCCGGCCGGCCCCAAGCTACAGTGCGCCACTTGGGAGTGCAGTGGCGCTCCCACCGAGGGTTTGGATCCCACATACAGACCGGCCGCAACACCGAGGGTTGCGATCCCGTTGCCGGTCCCGGTCCGGTACGGGCGCGACACTGAGGGTTGCGATCCGTTGCCGGTCACGAAAAAAAAGACAAAAAAAAAAGAATGAATAACTGAAACCTGCCTACCTCACGGGGTGGTTGTGAGAATCAAAAAGTAAGTGAAAGTTCCTTTTAAACAGTAAAGATATATATGGACATTGAGTGGTGGTATTATTATTTTCTTTTCCCCGTAATTAGTTTTCATTATGTCATTTATTTTCAAAAAGAAATTGAGACCTTTATGAGGTTCTGTTCACTCATGAAGATTTTTTCCATATGTCAATAGCCTTACTGCTAATTCAGAAGAAGGATCAAGTATATGTCCTTATTTTCTCACAATCATCTGCCTAACTGTATTAGTAAAATCTGAACATTCCTATTTTTAGTGCAAAAGTAAGTATCTGGGACATTCTTGATTATAGATGATTCAATAAGATCCTGAAATTTTCGTTTTTACAGCTTTCTATTCCTATAGTAATATTTCACCTTAAAGTGGCATTTTAATTTGCTCAACTGAAGACTTATTTTTTAAGTCTAAAATTATATCAGAATATAATGTAGTAATGGTTTAGCTACCTTAAATCTTTTCTGGGACATAATTTTTGGAAATGATAAGCTAGGATTATATTCATCCTGTCTTTTAAAAAGTTCTTTAAATAAATAATTAGGATACTTTGTTTTTTTGGCTGCTGGCCAGTATGGGGATCCGAACCCTTGACCTTGGTGTTAAAACACCACACTCTACCCAAATTAAATAACCAGCCAGCCCCTGGATAGTCTGAACTATAATGTTTCCAAGCCTCTCTGCTGCTTAAAAGTTTAACACTTAGGGCTGGCCAGTTAACTCAGTTGGTTAGACTATGGAGCTGATAACACCAAGGTCAAGGGTTCATTCAGGTCCCCTTACAAAAAAGAAAAGTTTAACATTTAAATTTTCATTCATTAGGGCTTGGCAAACTGCGAAAGGCCAAAGTTAACCAGTTGATCTTATAATTATATGAAGTGCTAACTAATGCCAGCACCAAAAGTATCGTGAGGTTCATCATTCTGAACTGAGCCAGGCCTTCCCATTGGGTCCATAACATTTAGCACAACACTTTGGTCGTGGTATCCACTTTACCTTTTCGGCTAACTTCTCACTGGAACGTTTTTCTCGAACCTTCTTGCTCTTCTGTTCACTTGCCTTTCTCCCACATCACCCAGTCATAGTGAGCTCTTTGCAGTTCTCAATACATATCAGCTTTGGGTCTTTGCACATGCTTTTCCCTTTAGAACTCATTTTGGAGACTGCTCTCCACCCTAACCCAATAGCATTATGAGGGGCCATTCTTTTATCACAGTACTGGTGACCCTGTGGTTTCCTGTTTCCAATGTGATTCCAACTGTCTGAGAGCACTTTGCAAGCCTGGGTGATCTCACTTATGCCCCCAGCATCTAGTTTGTTGCCCAGCACATAGCACAAGCTCTGCAAATATTGTTAAACTACAACACTTAAATTTGAATTCCTTAGCCCACTTGCTTCACGCTAGGTTTAGAACTAAGGTCCTTTCTGACCACATGACTGGAAAGTAGACAAAAAGTGGGGAATTGTTCACATTACTTCAACTGCAAGTGAAGGACACCGTAGATTCCTGACTTCCTTTTCTGTTTGGCAGAAGGGTTTTGGGGCATCTCTACAGAGAATATTTAAAAATTATAGTGTGGAGGTAAAACTATAAAAGAAAACATACGACAGAATCTTCATAACATTGGCTTAGGCAGTAGTTTTAGATACGACACCAAAAGCACAAGCAACAAAAAAAATAAACTTGTCTTCATCAAAATTAAAGACTCATGTGTTTTAGAGCACACGATCAAGAAAGTGAAAAGAAAATGCACTGAGTGGGAGAAAGTATTTGCAAGTCACATATATGGTTATATATATGTGTCCAGAATTATAAAGAACTCTTAAAATTCAATAATAAAAGAGAATCGGAATAGACAGTTTTCCAGAGAAAATGGCCAGCAAGCACATGAAAAGATGCATCATTAATCATTAGGGAAATGCACATTGAAAACAATGAGATACCACTTCCCACCACTAAAATGGCAAATCACGAAGATAGTACAAGTGTTGGTGAGGATGTGGAGAAACTGGAACCATCACACATTGCTCCTGGGGTTGTAAAATGGTACAGCCACTTTGGAAAGGCTTGGCAATTCCTTGAAAAGTTCAATTGAGTTATCACATGATGCAACAATTCCACTCCTAGGCATATACCCAAGAGAACTGGAAATATACATCCACACAAAAACTTGTCTACAAATATTCACAGCAGCATTATTATGCCCCCAAAATGGGAAGAAAAAAAAAGTATCAGCTGTTGAATGGATAAATAAAATGTGGTTTTTCCATACAGTGGCATATCACCCAACCATAAAAGGGAATTACTGATACATGCTAGAACATGGATAAATCTTAAAAAACATGTTAGTTGAAAGAAGCCAGACACCAAAGACCACATACTGTATGGAATGCTCAGAATAGAAAATACATGGAAATAGACCAGAGGCTAGGGGAAATGGGGAGTGAGTGCTAATGAGTACAGTAGACTCCTTGTCTTCTGCAGATATGTTTCCAAGACCCCCAATGGATGCCTGAAACCAAAGATAGTACTGAAACCTTATACTATGATTTTTCCTATACATACATATCTATGGTAAAGTCTAATTAAGATTAAGTTAATCTGGCAAAACACATTGCCATCAGAACATGTTTTCCGTTCATGTCTTCCACCCACAGATGTTATGCCTTTTCCATCTTAACTAAGCACTTCTCATGCTAACTTCTGCAGTTTGAGGTGTGACAGCAAAGCTGGCATGAATTTCTTTTTTCTCCACAATTTCTCAGACAGAAGATTCAATCTTACTGTAGATCTCAGCAACCTCAGCACAGGATTTTTTTCTCTTTCCCTATTAAGTCAAGAGTTTTCACCTTTTCACTTAAAGGAAGCACTTTGTGGCTTCTCCTTGGCATATCCAAATTGCCAGCATCACTGCTTTGCACTTCGGGGCCATTATTAAGTGAAATAAGGGTTACCTGAACACAAGCACTGCGATATGGTGACAGCTGATTTGATAACCGAGATGGCTACTAAGCAACTAGTGGGCAGGTAATGTGTCCAGTGTGGATACACTGGACAAAAGGATGATTCATGCTGGACGAGATGGAGCGGGACAGCTGGAGATTTCATCACACTATTCAGAGCAGTACACAATTTAAAACTTATGAATTATTTCTGGAATTTTCCACGTAATATTTTCAGACCATCATTAACCTTGGGTAACTGAAACCATGGATTGGAAAACCTCAAATAAGGGGGAGTTTAATGTATGATTTCTTTTTAGGGTGATGAAAATGTTCTGGAATTAGTAACGTTTGCACAACTCTGAATATATTAAAAATCACTGAATCCTACACTTTAAAATGGTGAACTTTATGGTATGTGAGCTACATTTCAGTAAAGCTGTTCTTAAAAAAATAAAAATAAACACTACCTAAAGAATTACGTAGGTTTAAATGAAAAGGATAGTCTTGTAAAGACAAGCAGCAGAGGTGCAATGTACTTTGAGCTCAGACTTGGAGCAGCTCTAACTTCGTGCCTTTCCTGAACCTCCATCCTCTTGCCATGGGGTTTGTTCATATGATTATGCATGCTACCAGCTACTGCAGTGCTTCTTGAAGACTGCTCCACCTAGCCCTGGGCTGCTTTTCTAGTCATGGGATGTGGAGCCTGGAACAGGTGACCAGATTACCACTGACCCTGTGGACTGAACCAAACCACAGAGGGATGGGGTGAGCAGAACCCTATCTGAAAGAGAAAAACAAGCCAACAAGAATGGGTGGGAAAAGGACAAGAGGGAATAAAGATTAATGTAATGTGCCTCATTAGCAACACAAAGAACTTTGGCATGACAGTTGATGACAATCAGTAAGCCAAAGTCATCGTTGATATAACCAGGTCCATGCTGTCCACTACTCCCTCCCTTTGGACATTAACTGTAAATAGGACAACGGTGACTTTAAATTTGATCCCTAGTCAGATCTTAGAACTCCAAGGAATGTTCCTAAGTGGATCATCCCTGAGAGTGGAAGTACCAGTGAATTAACTGGGACTCAAAATTTACAACTGCATATATTTGAGACATTGCTCTGCTTTAAAGTTGAGTTCTCTCATTTTCTCACTGGTGCCTCTCCTGCTTCTCTCCCATTAGAAGAAGAGGCAGCCTTCCTCCCATCCAACAGGGCCAGTCGGGCCCTCTGGCCCTGGATTCCACCCCTCCTCTGATTCAGGGCTCTTGGTCTATGGAATATTTCTGCCTTCTCATCTTCAGCCTCTCCCTGTACTGGATCCTTCTTCTCAGCACTTTTTTCTTTTAGCAAACTGTTTATTGAAATATAACACACATACAGAAAAATGCTCAAAGCTCTGATCTCAAATCTGAGCCGAGTGCCTCTTTACTGGAATTCCAAGGAGCCCCATACTTGCCCTAGCACAGCTCTTCTTACATAGGTGTCTGAAGAGACTCTAGCCTGTGTGCCTCCAGTACACGAGCTCCGTGAGAGTTGTAACCCTGTGGTGTTAACTCAGCTAGAAAGTGTTCAAAATGCTGCTATCTGTCCTGAGACTAAACTTAAAATGAAATATAAAGTATTTTTCAGAATAAAAATCAATTTGCATATAATACTAGTTATTTGAAAAGAAAACCCGAATTTTTCTCTTTAAAAATGTTATTATGGAGACAATTTTTCAGAGTACTTGTTTTAATTACAATTTTTATTTTCCATTTTGATGCTCAAATTGTTACATTTTGGCCACTGAGAGAGAGCTTCTTGTAAGCTGGCTGCTTTGTTCCTTCAACTCCATCAGAACTTTGAAAGCTTTCTT